TGTACTAGACTTCATACAATATTTGGCTGTTGATGCGAATAGACTTTCAGAGTGTTCGACCTTATTGACAGACAATAATTGATTTTAACAAACCGTGCTTATCAGCGCGACTTTTAGTACACTCTTACGTTTAATAATTTATTTTTAGATTTCTTTGGTTGTTATTTTATAAAATAGGTATTAGTTATTTTGGTAGTGTCTAAATATTTCTTAGTATTAGCTTAATTATAAATTAACCTTTTTTTTATTTAGCTGTAGTTTTAAATAGGTACCTAGGTATCAAATACTTTATTTCATTCAGTAGTTTAGGTACCTACTTACAAAATAAATTCTATATATTTTAAGAATTTAATTTTGGATTTAAGGATTTATTTAGGATCCGTTTTATTATTTAAGTAGGCATTTAGATTTTTTTAAGTGTATGGTAGCTATAGTTGTCCTAACTAACGTAGATTATTTTGTTAGGTAACTGCATGCCGTCGATTAAAAATAAAATACACAATGCCACCTAAAAAACGATTATCTTTATCTCGAAATTCGAAAGAAGCTAAGAGAATGAGAAATGTGCGTTCTCAAGAATCGGCAGAGGAAAGAGCACATCGGTTAAACTCTATGAGAGTTAGTGCCTCAACTTCTCGAGAAGAAAGCTCTCCAGAAAGAGAGATGCGATTAGCAGCTAACAGAGCGAGACGAGCTACATCACGGGCGTCTCAAAGTTCTTCTCAACGAGAGCTAAGGCTTACCATTGACCGAGAACAACATGTGTTATCCCGAGAAGCTGAAACTGCTTTACAACGAGAATTGCGGCTCACAGCTGTCCGCGAATGGCATACATTATCTCGCGAGTCCGAAACCTACACTGGGAGGGAATTACGTCCCACAGCTGATCGCGAACGGCATGTACTATTCCGTGAGTCCGAAACCTTCACTGAGAGGGAATTACGTCTCACAGTTGATTGCGAACGGCATGTACTATCCCGTGAGTCCGAAACCTACACTGAGAGGGAATTACGTCTCACAGCTGACCGCGAACGGCATACATTATCTCGCGAGTCCGAAACCTACACTGAGAGGGAATTACGTCTCACAGCTGATCGCGAACGTCATATTTTATCTCGAGAATCTGAAACTTTAACTCAATATGAAGACCGTTTGACAAATGATAGGGTGCACCATAATATTATTCGATCTCTTGAAGATGAACATGAGCATGAACAACGCAACGACTAGAGTCGGGATCCGAATATTACAATTCTTTGAGACAAGAACGATTAATAAGTTTGTCTAATGAAAGATTAAGAATTGAAAATATTCGGTTTCTTAAAACGGACGAACAGCTAGAGGCCCGTCTGTACTGTAGACAGATTTCGACATAGTCTTAATGACTTAGATGTACACATAGAATATCAATCTACAAATTCGGTGGCGTGGTCCGACAAATATAAAAGTGGGTTTGCTTATAACCCCACAATTGATTACAGATCATCCTTTGTAACAGTCGATATGAACGTAGTATGTTCTTTTTATAATGCTTCAAAGAACATTCTGGAGGTAAAATAAATTTGACTTCGTTCGAAGATCTACTGGAACCTTTGAATTCACTACTTTTAGGGGAACATATGCAATCTAAACAGTTCTTAGACAATATTCGCACTTACAATAGTGCGTTTCAAATGACATCCTTTGGTGCTCAACAAATCTCAGAAGGTCCTAGTTTGGTTTGCATTATCCTTTGATATACTCTCGAGGGGAAGATGGTTATAACTTCGCTTTATACCAAACTGATCCGCGTACAGGTGCACCTAATTATAATAAAAAGATGTCATGCCTTCAATTTTATTGTTACCACTTCCAAGTGAGACGGAATAGATTTGTATACTTTCAACGTTTTCGTGGCTTATTCAATCAGTTTATTGTTGACATGTACGCAAAAATTGAAACCGAAAGATTAGTTTATATAAGATCTAATCAAAGGTAGCTGCGCGCTGAAGAATACGTGCATCTTCGCGACGCCGTGCAGCGAGATAATGATACGGTGAATATGGTTCGTTTAGTTATTTTACCCTCTTCTTTTACTGGTGGTCCACGCTACATGCACGAACGTACTCAAGATGCTTTTTGTTACGTAAGAAAATATGGACGTCCCGACTTATTTATTACTGTAACTACCAATCCCAAGTGGGATGAAATCACTCGGGAGCTTATTGAGGGTCAAGCACCGCATGACCGCCATGATATTATCGCAAGAGTTTTTCATTTAAAATTAAAATCAATGATAGATCTACTTACCAAAGATAACATTTTTGGAGATGTATTGTGTTATATGTATAGTGTTGAGTGGCAAAAACGCGGCTTACCTCACGCACATATCCTGCTTTGGTTAAAAGATAAGGTTCGACATAATGATGTAGAAAGTTCAATCAGTGCTGAAATTCCAGATCCGATTGCAGATCCCGTGTTATACGACATTGTTAAAACTCATATGATACATGGTCCATGTGGTGCATTTAACGGGAATGCTCCTTGCATGCAAGACGGTCGTTGCACTAAAAGATATCCAAAAGCATTAGTGGATGAAACTGTAACAGAACATGATGGATACCCATTATATCGTCGCCGTTCAAGAGACAATGGTGGTTTTACTGTTGAAAAGCGAGTGTCTGGACAACAGGTTACTTTAGATAACAGGTGGGTCGTTCCGTATTCGCCTGTGTTGTCTAGAGCATTTCAAGCTCACATAAATGTTGAAATGTGTAATAGTATAGTCAATAAAATATATTTGTAAGTATATTAACAAGGGCTACATTTGCGTTGAGAAATGAACATGATGAAGTTACTAGATTTCAGTCAGGCAGATATATCGCTCTTCAGAAGCTGTGTGGCGGATCTTAATTTTCAACATTCACGAAAGATATCCACCTGTGACTCATCTGGATATTCATCTTGAAGGCGGTCAACGTATATATTTCAACGCCGAAAATGTTACAGAATGATTAGAAAACACTAGACAAACAACTTTATTAGCATTCTTTCGACTTTGCCAAACTGATGATTTTGCAAAATCTTTTGTATGAGGAAGTTCCATCGTATTATACCTACGATAAGCAACGAGGTGTCTTTGATCGTAGACGCCGTGGCAGGTTCTGTAGATGGCGAGTCAGGTATTTTCAAAGAACATGTTCTTGGTAGAGTGTATACCGTTCATCCTAACAACGCTGAGTGTTTCTATTTGCGATTATTATTACATACAGTGCGAGGACCAACATCATTTATAGATTTGAGAAAAGTAGACGATGTTGTTTATCCAACTTATCATGCAGCTTGTCAAGCGCGTCGTTTGCTTGAAAATGATCAGAATTGGGATGACGCTTTAGCAGAATCCTGTGTTAGTGATAATCCACGACGGTTATGCCATTTATTTGTAACATTACTCACGTTTTGTAATTTGTCAGATGCTGTACATTTATGGGAAAAATATATAGAAAAATTTGCAGAATACTTTCTTCGGAATATATCTCACAATGATGAAGGCGCAACTAATGATAATTTCCGTGATCTTGCCATAAATCTGTGCTTATTAGCTCTTCAGGAAGAATTAACAACAGTAGGCGGTAAATCACTCTGTGAATATGATTTGCAAACACCAACCTCAGTCGGAGAGGTTACCAATAGGGAATATTCCACAGAGATTGGTCAACTCAATGGAACTGCTGGCAGCATTAGAAAACGGTGTCCCAAAGACTGCAAACCTCGATGATGACTGCAGAACAACGCATTAATGAGAACAAAGTTCAGTCTATGATCGCGTGTGCGAGAGTGTTCAGAATAATTTGGGAACAATATGGTTTTTAGATGCACCTGGAGGAACTGGGAAAACCTTTTTGACTAAATTAATATCAGCTTAATTTCGAAATCAGCGTAAAATTGCTCTTGCCGTGGCTTCATCAGGTATAGCTGCAACATTAAACACAACAAAAAATAAATTAAGCTACAGGAAGGTAAAACTGCCGACACTATGTTTAAAATACCAATTGATTTAGATCGCACGGAAAGTGCAAAAGCTATTCTTGGCTATGCAAAAGATCCATTTTAACTCCTCGCAATGACCAGGCATCTGAGATTAATAACAAAATACTGTCTACTGTACTGTAATAGTTCAATAAATAGAATGGTCGATGTTGTTTGTTGTGTTCTAAACAATATTACCAATATATTAACTTAATAACACACAAGGAGTTACACTCCATACAAAGCCCAATGACACTAACATATATAGGAATGACGTCTTAGCAAAAGTTGTTTAGTCTGATGGGCATTTCCTGTTGACTTACAAAAATGAAAGATCTAGAACGTCTCGAATCGTCTCGCGAATCACGTTGTTTTCCCGTCCCCGGGCTCTTAGAATTCAACATCAGACGTTTCAGATCTTCGATTTTGCCGACCCCGTTGTCGCTGGCATATGCAACAGCCATATGCCGCATAGGAAGTCGCGGGCAGAAGCTAGTATGTAATAATATTGCTGTTACGTCTACTATGGCCCAAAAATTATTTCAGACTCGAGTTTACGACAAATGATATTTTGTAATTTTTTCAAAAAGCAATTATTATTAAATTATAAGAAAAAGTGAGGTAACTTATTGTTTATTGTGGAATCCAATGGCATTAAAAACAAAAAATCGTATTTTTGCATATACGCAAAAAAAATAACGCCCCATTTGAGAGTTTGAGACCCGCGATATATTTTTTATTTATTTAGTAAAATACTCTATTGATATGAAAAAAAATTGTACTTCGTATACCCACAGCGTAGGACGTAGTTAAACTTAATGTATGTATCTGACATCTATTTTACAATACTTATGATCCACGAAATATTGTTTTCTGATTATGGCCACATAATATTAAAAAAACACTGTAATGTTATAATAACGAAATAAAAAGCAAACATTAAGATTCAATTTTTATATCTCAGAAATAAATTAAATGGTCTTTTAATTCAGGTGGGATATTACCGCACCCGCTACTCAGCTGTAATGTTGGAACAGCTAGTGACTGCTATCCGAGATGGCTCATTGCCGCCTCTAGACCGACTCGGCCTGTTAGATGATTGTTTCGCCCTTGTCCAAGCTGGTCACACACAAACCTCGGAGGTATGTATTGTGCTTTTAAAACCTAAATAAACTATAACTAACCTAAAAAAAAATAAAAAAGTAAAATTATTTCTTAATCTGCAAGAAAAAATCCAATGAAATCTTAAACATCTCATGGCGTTATATATTTTTTCTTTAGAGATTTAGCTTGATTTTCAAGGAACTTTGTTTTTTTATATATATAATATTGCATTTGTTTTTAATGTAATTTGCGAACCGGTGCAGAGAATCTGCATATCCTTAATAATTAATGGTTGTAATATTGCGGTTGTATTAAGTTGGGGTACAAAAATACAATTTATTTAAATGCAAATAAAAAAGTTATTGTTCTGGGTGTTTATATGTACATGCGCAAATATATGTGAACACTTTCAGAATACAGGAAATGTACAAAATCGGAAGATTAAAATATTTTAATAGTTATTGTTTTAAATAAACTAAATGGTATGCTGAATATTAGTGTGTAAAATATTTATGCTTTTCTCGTTACAGTCACTGAAACTCATGGAGGCATTCAGCAATGAAACCAACTTTACAGTTTGGTCTTCAATATCAAATTGTATGTCTAAGCTGAGTGCACTTTTTTCATACACAGCTTTGGACAAGCCTCTAAAGAATTATGGCCGTAAACTTTTCTCCAATGTCACCAAAAGGTTAGGATGGGATGCAGAGGAAAAGGAAAGTCATCTTGATACACTTCTCAGGAGCTTAGTGCTAAATAAAATGATCAGCTTTGAAGACCCGGACACTATAAAAGAAGCAAAGAGTCGGTAAGTACACTTTTTTAAAGTACTTAAATTCTTTATACATCTATAAAGGAGTACAGCAGTACTCCGCGATATCTAGAATATATCTAGAACAATAATTACTGCTTGGGTGTCTGGCACGCATAAATTTATATATCACACCTTGAAAAAGAGGGTCTTGTTCTACACCTCAAGCCTGCAGCAGTGATCAACCAATTACTGGCTCCCTTTCCTATACCACACCTCGTTAGTTCGGGAAACAAAATGGTTGGCGTGACCCCTGAATAAGACGCTCGACTTAGAAACTTAACCGCTCTTTCAAAAGGGTTGACGACTAAGATTACGGGCCCTCAAGGAATGGTCTCGATCCTGGCGTCAGTCATGTACTTAGTGGACTGTATATTCTCCCACTTCCTTACTTTTAGGGTGGACACTAAGGAGTCTTTAAAACAATAATTGTTCATAAATGCACCTTGGAAATGCCATACTGAAATTTCTCTACTTTTGTAACTTTCACTTTACTTTCTCTAATTTCGTTTTCTTTTGATTTATAACTGGAAACTGTAACTGGTCCTGAACTTATTATTACTTATACAAGATTTATCTAAAACATTCACTACATGCATTTTCATATTTTATAGTAGTTATTATTTTTAATTAATATTTTTAAGAAATGGTTCGGACTTGCGTTTTTCGGTTCTGCTAGACACTCGTGTGAGTTGATAAACTCATTTCTACACGACCCTTGGGATCAAATAGGAAGCTCCTGCCTCTCTAACATTTATACTTATCCCTGTCTGACATAAACACTATTTCGTTCTAGCATCAAACTTTCCTTATCTAGCCTACTATTGATACTTTTTATCATTGATTAAGATATTATATAAACATTAATAAAAGTGTGCTTAAAACTAATAAAAATACTCTTAATTCTTTAATTCGAAAGTTCATAAGTATAGTATGTTTATAAGTAAGGTTATAATTATTTGTGCTGTAAAATCGTTACTGTTACTTAATATCATGTTCTGTGCACATGCTTTGGAATACCATCCAGATTATAACTTTGTATTTATTATTTTCAATTGTTCATGTTTTGGTGTTATTCTGTTTTGTGTACCTAAATAAATAAATAAATTCCCATTACATAGCCGATTGCCATTTAATGCATTTTTTTAAAGATCTATGCAAACGAGTATGCGGCTCACCTGATGGTAATTGACTATCGCCGCCCCTAAACAACCGCAACACCAGGGGAATTGCAGGTGCATTGCATTGCGTTAGAAATGAGTAAGCTCTTTTCGTGAAAGTCGCTTTGTCGTATCGGTCCGGAAAAATCGCCAGTGGTAAACAATGCACGGAGAAGTGGAAGAAAACTCCTAGTAAAACACACAGTGGTGGACCGCCAAGCATTCAGATGGTGAGGATGTTATCGTGAATTTTGACGTGATGTGCGTTCGTAAAATTTGGCGGCTGGAACTAATCCGAAAAATTTTTCTTTTTCTTTGTTTCTTCCCCGTAGTAGATATGCTAAAAAACGCAAATGGATGCAAAATCCCTTTGCGTTGTACGCAGCGCCAGTGAATCGAGCTAATCAGAAAGAACTCGGTCGGCGACGATTCGAATCGCTCTGCTCTGGATACGGTCAAGTGGAAGGGCTGGCACTGGGGTGCCCCGGCCCAGAGATGAGAACAATAAGGCATCACCAGTGCTGGCGTCTGCATAGTAATGAATGTTACCAGTTTGCAACATATCATTGATATGCAGAAGAAACAGCGTTGGTAATAGCACGTAGCCTTGTAGAACATCAGCGTTAATAGGCTTGTAATCAGAGCATGCACCGTCTACTACGACCTTGATGCTCCGATTAGCAAGAAAATTAGTGATCCAATCGCACAATTTCTTGGGAAGCCCATAGGAAGGGAGTTTCGAAAGAAACGCTTTGTACCATACCCGATCGAAGGCCTTCGCTATGTCCAAACTAACGGCCAATGCCTTCCCCTTGGACTCTACTGTCTCCGCCTATATTCAAAAGCCAAGACTCAAAAGTCAGGTAGACCAGAAGATCACCAGCTGATCGACCACAACGGATACCGTATTGGCGGTCACAAATCAGCTGGTGATCCTCAATGTACCTCATGAGTTGGCAGTTTACAATGGACTACATTATTTTGGAAAACAAGGAGGTGATAGCGATAGGCCTGTAGTTGGATGGGTCTGAGTGGTCGCCTTTTTTAGGGATGGGGTGGACCAAAGCTGTCTTCCAAGAATTTGGGACTACACCTTGAGAGTAGGAGTACCGGAAAAGACGCGTTAAAACCGGTGCCAACTCCAGAGCACACGTCTTCAGCACAATGGGAGGGACTTCATCAGGGCCACTCGACTTGCTGACGTTCAGGGAGAGGAGTGCTATGCGAACCGAGCGCTATGTAAACCACACATCTGGCATGGAGCACTCACACCGCGGGCGGGCGGCGGTGTTTTCTACCCGCCATCGAGAGTCGATTTGGACGCAAAGAGCCTAACAGATCAGCTTTCTTTCTCCTTTACGGCATGGGCCAGTGAGTCGTCCTCTCTGTACAGAGATGGAAGAGATGACTGACAGAAGTTCCCTTGGACGCATGACTCTTAAGTTAATACAAATATCTTTTTTTTCTCTCAGAAATTAACATTTTATAAAATAGACATAAATTTGACATTTATCTTAAGAAACAACGATTTAGTGAGATATTTATCTCGCGTCGCCAACATACCTTTACATATTTTTCAATTGGTGTTTTTTTTTTTTGGAAAGTTGAATATTTTTTTAATAGTTTTTTTTTATTCAAACTATTTACCTAAGCTTCACACAATGAAAAAAATGGAAATCTGTTGGGGCAAGGTTTGAAGAATATACTAAAATATTGTAATCTACCATGCTAATCCTGCAACGTCAGTTGAGCAGCATGTGGCCGGGCGTTGTCATTAAGAAGCAATAATGAAGAGCTGTTCATCAATCTGGGTTGTTTGAGTGCCAGCTTATTCCACCATTATTTGCAATTTTCGGTACTTTAGGCCATCTTATTGTCACCACAAGGTTGTTCTGGCACAAAGTTGTTCTGGCTAACCTTTTCTTTCAAACACTTTGGTTTGGGGGACCTAGATAACTACTGTATGTAATATATACTTGCACCTTTTGGAATTTATTCAGTCTTCAATCACAAGTAACAATTATTCTCAAAATTTCCTCTTTCTATACCAATTCGGTAATAATGTGATGCAAGTTTGGACAGAAAAAAGATACAACTGAATAACACATTTAAAAAAAGAAATAACATCCCTTAAAAGTAAAATTAATTGGAATTTAGAATTCCAAGTCAAACCATTACAGTTCAAACCATAATATACAATACCTAACCATTACAGTTCAAAGTGCTCAGTTCAACAAAATGGGAATTTCATAGGTAAAGACATAATATCATATTACTAGCTCTCTCACCCTCAAAATTCTTGCAGATTCGAGAAGCACATATCGGGGGTATGCGCACTCCCGGCTGATTTACGGTCAGCATGTTACCGAGCGGTGCTGGCCGAAGCAGATGAAGCTACATTTCAGCGGTTTCTGGAATTGTACCGTGCAGCTGACTTGCACGAAGAGAAAGACCGTATTAGCCGTGCGCTTGGGGCTGTGAAAGATCCTGCTCTCCTTAAACGTGTCCTTGACTTCGCTGTATCGGTCAGTTTATATAAGTTATTCATCCCATTATCAACATATTTACTGTAAGGAATAAATATTATTTATTATTGCATGTATCTATACAAATAAATAAAATTTAAGTGTCTGTTTGTCAAAACAACAGGTTTTTACTAAAGGCATGTAAAAGTATACACAGTACTTATGACAAAAAAAAACATTTTTTTTTTAACTTTTGTCTGTCTAGTTTGTTTGTTCCGGCTAATTTCCGAAATGGTCGGACTGATTTTGGGGAGACTTTCATTGGCAGATAGCTTTAATTTATATAGAGTAACATTTGTTACTTTTATTTTAGAATAATAATTAGAGTTCCGCGAAAAAAATTTTACCCATGAAATCCAATCATAGTAAATTCCTCGCGGGTAAAGTCAATGATACTTTCTCGTTATTTGGTATTATGATTAAAGTTATCTTTTAGTAGTATTTTAATTGTATTTATTTTATAAATTTATTAAAATATATCCATTTCAATAGGATGAAGTCCGCTCTCAAGATACTGTATTTGTGATAGTATCCGTGGCTGTAAGTAAGAATGGACGTGATCTTGCATGGCAGTTCTTCAAAGATCATTGGCAGGAATTGATGGATCGCTACCAGGTAATCATAATTATTATATAATAGCTGTCTGTGTTGCCCAATTATATAAATATTTTTTAAATATTACAAACGAAAAGAGTTAACAACAGTAATACACACTATAATTATATATTAAATAACTAGTTTGTGCGCATTTATACTTTCGTTAACTAAAGCTTTCCATAAATTGTAATAATTTATTTCAATCTATTTAATTAGAACATGTCAAAAACGCAACTAACGGCCTCATTTTACGCCGACTCGATTGGAATAAATTTTCTGATTTCATGTTGCAAATGAATTAAGATCCCAATAATACATAGATTGTGTCACTCATGAATAGTGTAGCTTTCTATCAGAGAAAGCATTTTTAGAATTGGATCAGCAGTTCTAATGATTACCTCCTACAACTGAAATTTAGGTATAGGTACTGTCACTAATCATTATCAACATTATTAAAGCCTTTCTACGTGCACTACTGAACATAGGTCTCCCGTAAGGACTTAAGGTTTTGAGCCACCTGTATCTTTCGTCTTTTTAATATTAATTAATGAATAACTATGCGTTAAATTGGAGACTGGCTTTCCGTAATTGCAGATTAAATTTGTAACATAGGTGTTTGCGCCGAAACGAACACACGTCTGCATTCGTTCCGTTAGTTAGTTTGTTAGCTGGTAATATCCTTCCTCTTCACTTCCGTTTCCTTCCTACACGGGCACGTCTAATAGGAGGCTAGACATGGTGGCGTCATTCTGTTCGACCAATCATACGCGCTGGTCAAAGTGAAAGGAGAAGCACGCCACCGGCCGACCAGAGTTGTCGACGTGTGCCGCCGCCGAGCAGTTGAAGCTTGACCTTAGATACGGTACCACCTCCGTGCAGCGGCGAAACTAGGGCTCCAAACTAGGGCAAGCCCAAGATATGGTTTTGTTGTTTTTAGCAGTTTAATAAAAATACATCAATCTTGAGCTGTCTCCACTCTTTAGTTTCATATTCAGTGCCGTCAAGGACGTGTTTAAAAAAGCACACAGAAAGTATACTACCGCTAGATAGATTGTATGACATAATATGCAATTGCACACCTTCGGTGGTTTTGAAAAGAGCCGTTTGGGTTTGCTTGAGATATTTACAAACAATACAATACATGAATAAAGTACAAACAAACTATGTACAAAGTTAAAAAAGGGACGCCTGGCAGATGTGAAACCTCGAAATTATATTTTGTTTAAGTTATATGCATAAAAGAACAGATTACGACAGGAATTAGATAGTTATAATGAGAAGATAAATCTTTGCTAATTTTTTACCATAAAATAATGACTATTTATATTATAATTATTCATTTTCAATTCATAATAAACCGTACAAAATGATATTTTTAAACTCATATATCACTATAAATTAGCCGATAGCGTATTTGTGCCATCTAGCGTAATCTTTAGGTACCATCATGAGAATCAACCTATTTTCGTTCGATAAAATTACTTTACGTATAGAATTAAGTAGATGGGCTTAAAATTTTATATACTGAAAAATAGACAGAGAAACCTAACTGTAAATAACTAAAGGGAGTACTATTCTTTAAAAACCTCAATACATTCTTCTGTATTCTTTTGATTTATTTAATTAAAATTTGGGCTTCACGTTAAAAAAAGATTGTAACACTTATTTCCTCTAAAATTAAACCTAGGTCTCATACTTTATGCTGCTGTTCAAATTGATATTTTTAATTCGTATGGTAACATTAATATTGAGTTATTAAACCTTTAAATACGCCTAACTTATTTAAAGTATGAAGAAATGTTTATTGAATATTAAATTTCATTTTTAAAGATTTTTACCTTTTTTTCGTGAACGTGAATGAACACTATTATCCTCCCATTTTCACTGAAAATCCTCGAAAAAGCATACATTTTTAACAAACACAACAAAAACAAACATAAACATTGAAATGTGAAGTGAACTTGCATACGAGGGGCCCACCGGGGGCAACCACTTCGCTAGTCGCTAACGCACTCCTAAACAACTTCATGGCAAAGCCTGGCTTGTTGGCTCAAAAGTAATTGCTATATAAACATTTCGTAGTTATATTTCATTATAGAATATTTTGCCATAGGTTAGAAAGAGAGCGATCGTCTTCTCGAAAGCCCCGTAAAAAGCCCACGCGAGTGAGAGAGACAACTAATCGCTCTATTAAAACTCACTTTATGACAGCAGCAGTATCGCCACAGAGTACCTTTGTATAAACGTATCGCTAAGGCAATACGATCATGGTCGACATGTGTCGAACAGTGGAGTGCGCGGGAAAATTGAAATAATTTGAAACAGTGTAGGAGTTACTTTATTAGTTGATATTATTGATTGAATCAGTTTTAATAAGGCAAGCCCGGCTTTTCGGCTTTAATGGAAGCTTCGCCACTGCCGCCGTGGCAGTCGGGCCACAGAACAATTTCGTAGTAACCGCTTGCACAGTGCTATTCGTCCTGGCGCCAACAGTTAACCCAACAATAAATAGATTGACTTGGGCCATCGCATGAAAACACAATGTATCTCACAAGTAATACATATGATATTAAATTCGATTGCTTAGTGCGATTGCCAAGTCAATCTATTTATTTAAAATATAAAAGATTTTTAATATTGATATGGTCACAATAAGATGTTGTTATGTTAGCTAATTACGTAATAACTTATGACAGAAGGACCCTTAAGTAGCGACTGAATAAATTAACCGACTTGGTATTACGTGGATCTCACAACTTTTTACGGTAGAAGAACTGAGTTGCGAAACTTGATTTTTTTACAAGTTATGTTTTTGATGGCATCTCACTTCTTTTTGCATATAGTATATTGTAGATAGTCCTACTTTTCTTCCTTCTGGTACCTCCTACTTCTTGATTACCAACAAAGTACCTATCTACACCTTTTATTCCATTATATTATACATATACAGGTATAGTGATTCATTCACTGCAAATGTAACTTTGTAATCCTATATATTTATATGGGATTACAAAGTTATTTATGCAGTTAGTGTATCTAAAAAACTGGACCGAAATTGAAAAATATTATATTTTTTTCTTAATTTATAAACTAAACACTAATTGTGTTCTAAGTTTTTAGCTTCTATTTTTGCTAGAAGTGCCTTAGTTTTGATGATCGGTCAGTTAGTGAGTGACGAAATTAAGAAACTTTGACTAATTATAATTCCTAAACTACTGGTTCAAATTGAATGAAATTTGAAATATGCCGTGACTATACAATGCCTGCTTGGTTTCTGAAAATTCAAGTTTCTAGTTATATCCACAACGAAGTTATAGGGGGTCGAAAATGGTCTGAATTGCTTCGAGAAAAGTATGGTACGGCCGTGCCGCTTTTTTGTTCGACTTGGCGGGAGCACTGCCGTGCCCCAAGATTCTAAATAAATATGTGTACTCTTGAACAGGGCGGCTTCTTGCTTGCGCGTCTCGTTAAATCGACGACGGAGAACTTCGCGTCGGAGGCGAGCGCGCAAGAGATCGAGGAGTTCTTCGCGGCGCACCAGTCGCCGGGCACCGAGCGCTCGGTGCAGCAGGCGCTGGAGACGGTGCGCCTCAACGCCGCCTGGCTGCGCCGCGACCTCGCCTCCACCGACTCCTACCTGCAGCCCTACCACTGAACACTCACATAAACGGGGTAAACTTTCACGGATCAATGAATGGTTTTGAAGTTAGTAAGTAATAGATGTTGATAATTTTTAACTTCCCGCTAAGAAAATTGAAAATTTTCAGAAATAGGGAAGTTATTGGTTTCATCCCGATTTTATAAAATCGAGTTTTCATCAGATCTCGATGTTTTGAGATCCCAGGAAGCTATTCTGACTAATTTCACATGGACGTCCGTACGAATGTATGTATGTAAGTGTGTAAACCTTTCATAACTTTTGAATGCCTTGATCGATTTAGATGCGGTTTGCGACGTTCTAAAGATCTCAATGTGGAATAGATTTGGTGATAATATGAACTGATTCGTACGAGTAGATTTTGAGAAATCTCAAAAATAAATATTTTGAAAAACTGTTTTTTTTGGAATAACTTTACGGCTTTACCGATCGATTTCAAAAACTAATCAGCTCTTAACCTCAAAAAATGACGTTGAATGCCGTTTGGAAAATAAAAATCGGTTCATTCATTCGTGAGATATCGAAGGAGAAAGAATTTGAAAAAAAAAAACGATTTTTTTAAACATAATTTCGAGATTTCGCAACATAATCTGGTGAAATTTGGAGCGCTTTGCATTTTTTTTTCTTTTGCAAAAAGTAGTGAAGTTCCAGGGATAGCTAGATAGCTAGATAGAACGCAGGGGCACGGTCAACCAATTTTTTTTTTTTAAATTTAATTGGGGTGACAAATGAGCACACAATCCACCTGATGGTGAGTGAGTGGATGCTTGTGGCTCATAGACATTTAATCTATCCTCGATTAAGAATCAAAATGCAAATGCGTTGTCACCCCTGAGGACTAAGATGGAATGCCTCGTATCTAGTAAAAAGGGTCTCCGGTTCTCCACACTCGCCACACGAAACACAGCAGCAATAAGCTGCTATTTTACGCTGGTATTCTGCGAGAATGTGGTCCTCTCCCGGTCGAATCGACGCATTTGTGTTACAACCATAATATAGCTGCAACATGGCTCTACCACATATAAAATACTTAACGCTTTCGAAAACGCTTTTCGGAATCGAAAAAATCGAATTATTGCATTTATATTTCACTACATTAGTAAGTTAGTGGCGCAGAGCCTATGCTTGCACACTGATTACGGCATGTTCTCCAAATTATATTTAAAGAAAAATTGGCATATTTCCCATTACTCCATATTGATGTTAATACATAATATTCTTCAGGTTTTTAAAAAAAAATGTTAAAACAAACGGCTTATAAAAGTAGTATTACAGTAGTAGTTATTATTATTGAAATTGGTTTTTTTTCTTTTACAGGAACAAAAGGCAAGACTGAAACAACAACGAAATTTATAACAATGTTTCCATTCAATAATATGTAACTACTTTCAACCAAGCTTTATGTTTAGTGTTAAACTCCCATAACTATGTAAAATGCAATTTGATAAATAATCATAATAATCTCAATTTTGTATGAAAGGGCACAGCTGTTTTATGTAGTACCAACCTTATATGCAAAATTACATTGAAACGTGTGTGTATATATAATAATATGACTGCTACAACTAAAAGCAATATACGTATTCTGTTTTTAAACAAGAAATGGGCCGTTTATAGTTACCTATGTTAACTTAATTGTTCCTGAATCAAGTTGCTTGAAGCGGTGTTCTATAGTACAAAATTAAAAAATTAACATATTGCTAAAGGCTAAATTCATAGTATTTTCATGGTAGTAAAAAAACTGTTTCATTTCTTTTATTCATGAAGGCTTACAAGTCTAAATCTTTTTTATACAAACTACAAACATTATATCACTTAGAAGTATTCGCTTGATTTGCCAATTCAATACTGACTCGGTCGCGGCCCTAAACGGCCTTATACGTAAAAGGTCCTATACCTTTTCCACTGAAACATCTAGAAAAGAAACACCTGGTAACTTATATTTATTCTAAAAAGGAACGAGAATTATCTTAATCAACATAATTTCTCTAAGCTACAACCGACTACAGATATTTTTGAAGTGACAACTTATTTAGAATTGTTGTGGTTTGAAACAAAAAACGAAACTAAAAGGCGTAGACAGAGAAACCTATAGACAAATTGACGCCTTCTTTCGCATTCGCACACGAAAAAAATAGATTTATGCATACGTCTTGCATAGAAATGAGACAGAGCGGTGTGATTGTTTGTCACTTTCTCCGTGCCGGTTTTTTTGTTTAGCAAACTACACTATGCTAAACAAATTTGACGGTTCGTAGCGATCTAAGGAGTTTACAAGTTGGTTTAAGTGAGAAAAAAGTGTTTTGTGAGCTTAAGATTGATGAATCTTGTTCAGGTCAGTTCTTAGAACAATTAAATTTTTTATCTAAATATGTTTAAAAGTCGTAAAGATTAATGTATAACCTGAAACTACGTTATCGTCCTTTCTCACTCGAGGCCACGCTAATCATTAGTCTATAGGTTTCTCTGTCTACGCTAAAAGGAGACAAACATATACATCTATAGGATTAAGCCTGCGAGAAAATGAGATAAAATACAGTATACAGTATTTTATAATATGTCGGTTTCCTTTTTTGAAGGTTGTACTTCTACCGCGTGTGAGCTGCGCACGTGTTTTATAAATCAATCAATCAGATTCAATAATAATAGTCATTTTTTAATGATCCCATCTAAAGTTATTGCAGGTTACCTACATATATGTGGCATATTATGTAAATTTGTATAAATATTAATTTATCTTAGATTTATGTTACATATTAAAACTAATATTGGTGGTGCTAAATGCAGTTTTTGTTTCATTTTTATAGTTGTATTTTGAATTGGGTATTGTTCAAAACGCTAGAGTAGTGTTGAAATTTGGTTTTCCAAGATAATTTTAACCAGTGTGCAATAGGTCATTTTTCTTTCTTCAGATTAGTGTAATTAGTCTACTTACGTTTTAAAATATGTTTTGTCGACGTGTTTAAGTCAGTAAAATATTGTGATTTATGAATATAACATTTGAAGTTACCATCATTTTATTCATTGTATAATTGTTTTTGTTTTTAAGACTGTGTTATTGCATTAAAGTGTACAAAAGTACCTGTAAACGATTGTTTTATTTATAATTGTTTAAAATATTTCTACACATAGGCAGTGAAGAGAACAGTGGAGACTACTACTAACAACGGGGCTCTCTATCTTGCTCTTTAGGGCCATAGATAGTGACCGTGGAACTCTAAACGCAACCTGCATTTTGATTCTTAATCAGTGTCTATGAGCTGCAGTACCCACTTACTATTTTGAGAACTTTGTGCTCGTTTATCAACCTTCAAAAAAACATGTGTGCGTGTAACCTTTGCCCATGGTTAAAGTAAATTTTATTAATATTAATAAATTATTAATATAAAAAAATAAATGGATATATTTATATAGGTTCTGCTTCGTATCAATAGCCCACACAATTTTCTGCTTTTGAGATCCTGTCCACTCAAAGGTTATTTGGTTCTCAGGAAGAAATTGCTTTTAATAATATATCACCACCAAAACTGTATGACATTGCCATAGAAGAGGAGAAAATACAAAATAATTCAAATATTAACAAAAATAATATAATTGTGTATATTGGTGACATGAGAAAATCTAGGGATAATGTTAAATAAATGAAGGGGAAGAAATTACAAATTGCTGCATGCCTGTTTATGCGGTGTAAGAATATTATCCACTACCCCATATCGTCCCGAGGGTGTCGTAAGAGGCGACAGAGGGAAAATAAAATAGGAGATGGGCAGCTGCATCTTCCTGATAACTCAAGATAATAAAAAAAACTGTGGTTGCCAAGCTTGCCACACTTGGCAAGCGGGTTGGTAAAATTCCCCAATGAGGCAATCTATGAGGATGGCTTATGTTTAGCGTTGGACTTTTATAGACTAATGGAGCAGTGCGACGAATGCCGTCTTAGGCCATACCGGGGCCCTTGGGCACAAGTATTTGGGGCCCTCTTGGAAAGTAAAAAAAAGTAAATGAAAACATTTTTCTGCTATGATCTTATATTTATTATAGTTAATTGGTTAAAATCAAATAAAATGTCATTATTGAGGGCATCCACGACTTTTTCCGCCACCAGGTCAGCGCCACTTTACAATGAGATAAAATATTTGACAGATTTCATAGCGGGGACTATAATTTCTTAGGAATATGTAAACTTTAATGATTCTTTCTAAACTTTCTTTCAAAACAGAAAATATTTTAAATAACATCTTTGGGTGCGTTCGGCAGAAAAAAGCGCTAGCAAGCGCTTGTATGCAAAATGGCGATCGTAATCGGTAAGCGTTGTCAAATTGTAAGTAGCTATTTTCCTCCAGGACACGATGTTAGTTTTAACCGGGGGAATCTAACCTAATTTAAATATATGTTTGTAAAGTATGCATATTAAAAACTTACCAATCATGAGTTTTTAATAGCATGTATATGTTTATTCATGTCATTATATTACTTAAAACTAATATTGCACAAAACAACTTATAAACTCTACTTCAAAACAAACAAATTAAATAAGCAAAATGGCGGATTGTGTCAGCGCTACTGAAGTAGCAATCGTGTCCTGGCCGAAAACTATTTCAGCGCTTATAAGCGCTTGCTAGCGCTTTTTTCTGCCAAACGCACCCAATATTTACAATAAAACATTATGTACTAATCGGCCAACGGACTACTACCGTAAACCACTTCTTCGCACTATTCCTAATATAATTATATTATAAAATTATTGATGGTAATATCCTATATATTATATAATAATTCTAATACAAAAATTATAAAATTATTGATGGTATATCCATTAGGAGGATATAATGATTTTTGGAACACAAAATGACAAAATAATCGCCAACACTTTTCCAAATGGCGCAAAAGTATGACGTCATATACTGTCCAATGTTTTGGAACGAATCACCAGTATAGCGTCGATTCATGACGTCATTTGCATTGGACAGTACACTGCGTTGTATTTAGGAACATAC